TCTGGATGTTACCAAGTACTGATTCGCTTGCTGCGAAACTTAATTTCGGAATCAATAATAACCTTTAGTTTCTAAAAACCTTTGAAAATTAAAATGGATCTGTTCACTTGTTTCCCAATTGATGTGTACATGTATTTCGTGATACTGAAAATTAGCTGCTGATGGGGCAAAATATCAGCATTGAATCAACTGTCTCGCGATGAGTTTGCATTGTTGTATGTCAGTAGGCTTCAACATGAAGCAAAAATTGTCCCGGGCTTCAATTTCCCAAATCCGGAGCCCTTTGATCGAATAGTCAAAATTCAAACACCTGTCAATTCAGTTTAAATTGCGAACACTTACGCCTTCCTGTTCCTTCTTCGAATACGCTGCCCCTCGTCCATCGGGAAGTACACGAGAATATCGCTTTACGGTGGACAGTCGATGAAGATGATCGATGGATGCGTCTTCGGCGGGAACGGGATTGCCATCAGCTGAGTTCGACCAAAATGTAGCTTAAAGCCGCCCAAGTGAGTCTGAGTCGTCAATGTTGTGCTGTCTTCCAGTAACATGGAACCCCTTGCTACATCGTTGCAACTCCATCCATCTTCACCATGCTTGTGGCGGTATGTGAGACCGTCGATCGTAAATCGACGTCGAGATTTGCACCTAGTACATTGTAGCTCTTCCTCCGCAGACGCATCTCGAGTAACACGCAGGCTGGAACCAAGAGAGCGGGATCGAATGGACCGTTGGGCTGTGGAGTTGGTGTTCGTCTTGGCATTTCCTGTTTCAACTAGTGGGTGAATATCTCCATCTTCTGTGCTTCCTCTTTGGTTACTCCGGAACCATTTCGCTAGAGGCATAGCTTCCGTAATAGTTGTTTGGTATTCGACCAATTTGAGAATGAATGAGAGGTGTCCCCAGCTTATTTCCTTCAACACCGAGAGGCAAGCGAGCGGCACAGATAAATGAGACTTCAACACCGAGAGGCAAGTGGAGAGCACAGATAAACGAGACAGCCGAGACTGACGTTCGTGCTACGTTAACGCGGTAGCTGTGATTTTCTTCGGCATTTTCTAAGTCGCCTCAAGCGTTTCAAAGTTCTGTTATGATTATTGTCGTCCGTTCTGGTGAAGGCGCCGTGAGGGCCACTACCTCTGTGGTGGTTAGTTGCAGTTCATGCCGTTGTGGCTTCGATAAATGTTGTTGTCATGCTGTATACACACTCATTCGCGCGAGTCAGCGAGGCTACTGCACCTGGACTGTCTGTATCAGCACAGAATGAAACTATAGGGTGTAGTCTGTTCCGTGCAGAGTGGAGCAGGTGGATCGGCGGCAATGGCGTGCGCTGCAATGCAATCAATCGACAAAAGGAAAGGATGTTGCTGAAAA